CGACGTGCGCTACGGATCCGGTACCGGCCGCGGGGGGCACTGGGGATCAGGGGCGGGGGGGCACTGGGGGTCGGGGTAGCCCCGTCCCCAGTCTGGGCTGCAGCCGCACTGGGTGCCTCTGGGTGAGGGGAAAATCCCGCCCCCCAATACAGATAGTAGTAGGAGGGGAACAAATTCCTTTCCCACCACACGTGGCAACCGGCGAAGCCCAGCTCGTCGTGGAGCCGGGCATCGCTGCTGAGCGCCACCAGCGATGGAGATCCCACGGTTTCCCTTTCGGTCGCTCAGGCAGCGGGCAGCAGTCGGTGACGGGCGTCTCGGCCGTGGACGACAGCAACAGCTACTGGAGGATTCGGGGGAAGACCTCCACGGTGTGCGGGAGGGGGACACCCGTGAAGTGCGGGCAGTCCATCCGGCTGACCCACATCAACACGGGGAGGAACCTGCACAGCCACCACTTCACCTCGCCCCTCTCAGGCAACCAGGTAAGTCCTGGAGGTTGGAGCCAGCGGCTGCCTCCGCACGCTGTTCCTGTTCTCTGCTGAGGGGCTTGGTTGGCCTTGACCTACACGTTCCTCTCCTTAGCGAGAGGTTGGTGCTTCTGCATGGACGTGAACAAGATGAGTCCAAATCTGGCTGACAGTTGGACTGGTGCTTTCCTGGGAGAGCGGGATCATTCTTTTGCAGACCTGGGGTAGGGGACAAGGTTGTGTGCTCTCCGTGCAGCAGGCGGAAGGGGAGGCTCTTAGTTACTGCTTTGGAAAGGCAGGTTCTTAGGGAAGTCCTGCCTGTTTTCACAGCTGTGAAGCTATCCTGGGGCTGAGCTGCATTCCCAACTTGACAAAATGATGATGTCCCTGGGGGGGAGGGAGGAGTAACATGGGGGCATACCCCTTAAATCTGATGCGGAGCCCCACATTCAGCCCCTGCTCAGGGTTTCAGAGCTTGTTTTCCAAGACCGCGTCCAGCCCAGACCACGAATAGGAATGTTTTTGCCCTAGGCTGTGGCTAACGCGTCAGCTCTGGTACTCCCGTTGCATTTGTTCCAGGAGGTCAGCGCATTTGGGGAGGACGGCGAGGGAGACTACCTGGATGACTGGACGGTGGTGTGCAGCGGGCCGTACTGGGCGCGGGATAGCGAGGTGCGGTTCAAGCACTCCTCCACTGACGTCTTCCTCTCTGTGACTGGGGAGCAGTATGGACGGCCCATCCATGGCCAGAAGGAAGTGCACGGCATGTCCTACTCTAACCAGAACAACTACTGGAAGGTCATGGAAGGGATCTTCATGAAACCCAGTGAGCTGCTGAGAATGGATCCCTACCATTCTGAGTTATGACAGACTGCGCTGGAGCTTCCCAGCGTTGCAGTACCTTTACCGCAAGTGTTCAGCTCCTGTAGGGACCTTTCTGCTTCCAGGTGCCTTTGCAGCAGCTCTCGGTCGCTGGAGCAGTTGGGCACAGGCCAGGCAGCAGAGCCCTTGTTCCCCTTCTCTTTCCTTGACTGGGTCTCATTATCCCTGTTGGTACAGGCTTCATCTGTTGCAACAGGCTCCTCTCACAGCAGGTTCCCCACCCCCCCTGCAGAGGTGCTAAGCCAAACTCTCCCACAGAAAAAGGGACCATTCGTGACTTGCTTTCATCACCTTGCAGTGAGCCTGTTCTCACTGTCACAGTTTCATTTGTTTGTCTCTGTAAGATCTGTACTGCTGACGTTTGTGCACAGACGTGTCCTGGGGAGAACTGCTGACAGGGGCTGGGCCATAAAAGAATTTACTTCTCTAAGGGTGTGCGCTGTTTTGTTCTGCTCCTATGTCCCCGGGGGACAGAATCGCTCCCCTCCCGCATCGCTCTCAGCAACAGCTGCTGTGGGAGGGGTGTGGGTGGGTGCTGCTAGTGGGACAAGGTCGCTGCTTATGAAAAGAACAGTAAAAGCAACAGCTCAGCCAAAAACCAGCAGCGGCTGCAGGATAAGAAGCCGCAGAGAACTTCCTTCATGTCACATGGGCTTAGAAAAGGAGCTGTGCTGATACCAGGAAGGGGAAGCTGGGCTGGAAGAGGGGACAAGTGTGGGGTAGGTGGGTTTAAATGACACAATTGAGCGTTGATGCCACATGCGCCTCAGAGTTGTTCTGCCAGGGGCCTGGAGGGGGCAAAGCCCAGGCTCCTGTTCCTAAACGTAGCCAGGGACGGTCATGCTCGCAGCGTCTGTCTGTGTCTGAGACCTAGAAGGAGAGATTCCCCTTCAGTCTCCGGGACACTGCATTGCTTGGGGCGCTCCAGCTTGGCCTGTGCTCGCTGGAGAAAGCAGCCGGCTCTGGTGAATTCTCTCACGCTTGGAGACCGCGTGCGAGGACGAGGAAGGCTCTGGTGACGCATGGGCAAGGAGGGGCCAACGTGCAGGGTGCACCTGCACCACCAGCGCTTGGCAGGGTGGGAATCCCTCTTTGCCCGGGGCCCTAGCCCCGGGGGCAGGGCCGAGCTCCCCACGGTGCGGCGCGGGAGGGCAGAACCGTACAGCAACCAGCCCGGCCTCGGGGAGCGCCGGGCACGTGCTCCTCCTCTAGCCCCGCCCCTCCCGCCAGGCCCCGCCCCATGGCGCAGGCGCAGCAGGCAGCGCTCACTTCGGGGGCGCTCACGGTCGGCCCGGCCGCTCTCCGGGCTCGCTGCCGGTCGGCCCGCGG